TCAGGCCTGCCACATGCCCAGCGAGGAGCCCCAGGCGGAGCTCAATGTCATGACCCTGAGATCATGACCCGAGGGGAAACCAACCCTTGGACGCCTAACCGCTGAGCCACCTAGGTGCCCCCGGGTTATTTTCATATGAACATTAAAGGAGGAACAATCCCCCAAATCTAATGATCTGGGATTATTGAAGTTACACTCCCTTCACGTATTGTCTCCTGGTCCCACCCAGAGCCATCTAGGGGCCTGGTTCCCCGCGTCGTTTCCCAGACGGATGCTTCGTGGAATCATGTCCCCTCGGATGTTAAGAGTGGGGCCCCTCGGGCAGCCCCTGTGGCTCAGCGGTTTAGCGCCGACTTCAGCCCAGGGCGTGATCCTGGAGACCCAGGATCGAGTCCCATGTCAGGTTCCCTGTATGGAGCCTGCTTCTCCCTCTGCCTGTGCCTCTCTCTCTCTCTCTCTCTCTCTCTGTCTCTCATGAATGAATAAATAAAATTTTTAAAAAAAAAGAGTGGGGCCCCTCAAATGAAGCTCCAGGTTCAAATCCGTTTGTAAAATTCTGAATTCGATGAAATTGGTCAAGCTTCTCAGAATCTCACGCTTTGTGAATCTCGTGACTCTCCAGGGGAAGGAATATCGTAAATAACGTTTCTGAAACTTTTGATCCCGGCGCTTTTTTCTTGAAGCTTATTCTCAGCAGCCTTTTCCAGAACAGTTTCCCCGAAGGCAAGTAGGAGAAGCGTGAGTGTGAGTGGTCTCCTGTGTTTGTTCTCCCCCCTCTTCCTTAGTTGTAAGAAACCAGAATTTTGGGGCATGTGGGTGGCTCAGTTGGTTAAGTGACTGCCTTCAGCTTGGGTCATGGTTTTGGGGTTTAGGGGTCATGGGATTGAGCCCCACATCGGGCTCTGCAGGGAGTCTGCTTCTCTGTCTCCTTCTGTCTCTCGCTCTCTCTCAAATAAATACATAAAATCTAAGAAGGGGAAGGGGAAGGAGGAGAAGGAAGAAGAAGAAGAAGAAGAAGAAGAAGAAGAAGAAGAAGAAGAAGAAGAAGAAGAAGAAGAAGAAGAAGAAGAAGAAGGAAGAAGAAGAAGAAGAAGAAGAAGAAGAAGAAGAAGAAGAAGAAGAAGAAGAAGAAGAAGAAACCAGCATTTTAGCCAGGCACATGCTCACTCAGAATAAGCCCAGCATTTACCCCCGTCCCTTGCAATTGACTGTGCCTGTGTGACCAGGTGATTGCCAAGGAGACGAGAGGGGAGATGGCACATGAAGCTCTGGGGTCTGCCCTTAGAGGGCAGTGCCATACCCCTTATGTGCCTTCCTTCTCCCTGGTGGCTGGAAGGCAACATGATGGCTTGAGCTACAGCAGCCATGGGCTGGGAGTGAGGTCCAGCACCTGGGGCACCTCCGCAGGGCAGCCCTCCCGCTGGCCCGCACCCCGGGGCGCCGTGGGTGCTTCAGGCCCCGGAGCCAGGCAGGGACCCTGCGGCCTCGTCCCCCAAGTCCCGGGGGACCACCCGCGCCGGCGACAGGAGTGGGACGGGGGCCAAGGAAAGGATGGGGACTCGGCGCCCTCAGAGGGCAGGTGCGCTGGACGGTATCCTGTGGCGCCCTGCTCCAGGGCCGCCGGGGCGACTGTGGGGGTGCCTTTAGGACACCGTGCCTCCCAGCACCCCCCCCTCCCTTTCCTTCTCCCCCTGTGCAGTCATCCTCTCCTGGCTCCCCCTCCTCCCCCTCGTCCCCCTCCTCCTGGTTCTCTCCCTCCGCCTCCTCCCCTCCCCTTCTTCCTCTTCTCCTCCTCCTCCCGGTCCTTCAACTCCTATCTTTTCCCTTTTCCCTCCTCCTCCTCCTCTCCCTCCTCCTCCTCCCCTCCTCCTCCTCCCCTCCTCCTCTCCTTCTTCCTCTCCTTTGTCCTCTCCCTCCTCCTCCCCATCCTTCAACTCCTCCCTTTCCTCTTTTCCCTCCCCCTCCTCCTCCTGCCACCCTCCCTCCATCTTTCCGTCCTTTCCCTTTTCAGGCACATGGGACAGACTTGGACCGAGTCCCTTTGCAGCCCATGCTAGGCCTCTCTTTTGTTTTATTCAATTTTATTACTCCCCCTTTATTCCTTCTGCTGCTTCTATTTCTCTCACCCTCACAGCACCTCTTGATCCATGTTCTTCCCTCCCGTTCAGCTATTGGGCCCCCTTGGAAAATACGCCGTCTTACCTTGGAGCATGGATGTTTTAAATTTAAGTATTTAAAGGGAGAATCTTCCTTTGGACTCTTACTGCTCATCACACAGCACCATGTTTCTTCGAGTTCTAGTCGTTTTGCTCTCTGTAAGTCTAGTGCATTATGAGACCACTTAACATGATTTTATATCACGTGTCTGACGCTGCCTTTTTTTTAAAGATTTTATTTATTTATTCATGAGAGATACACAGAGAGAGAGAGAGAGGCAGAGACACAGGCAGAGGGAGAAGCAGGCTCCATGCACCGGGAGCCTGACATGGGACTCGATCTCAGGTCTCCAGGATCACGCCCTGGGCTGAAGGCAGAAGCTAAACAGCTGAGCCACCCGGGCTGCGCCTCCCCCCCCCCGCCCCCCCGACGCTGCCTTCTTCATCCGCTCCCTTCACGGGGACACCGAGGTGGCCTCCAGCCCTGCTCTGCCACCGGTCGTGGCTCCATGGACACCCCTACGTGCGCCCCCCTCGGAAGAACTGTCAGGGTCTGGACCCGGGACGGGATGGCAAGGACTCAGGAACCACCCCTCAGTAATTTCACCAAATGCTTCCAGATTGTCTTCCAGTGTCCCCACACCAAACTTCATGCCCACTATCATCTTTGCCAGCACTTGATGTAAGATTGTCTCTCTCTTTTTTTAAGATTTTTCTATTTTTCTTTATTTATTAGAGCACGAGCAAGGAGGAGGTGGAGAAGCCGAGGCCGGCTGCGCTGGGAGCCCGACGTGGGGCTCCACCCCAGGACCCTGGGCCAAGACCAGAGCCGAAGGCAGCCCTTGACCAAGGGAGTCGCCCAGGCATCCTAGATGTTCTAATTTGTTATAACCTGATAGTCATAAACTGATATCTCTTGATTACCTTAATTTCCATTTATTTGATTACTAATGAAGTTGAGCGTCGTTCACCACTCATTTTGGCTTTCTCTTCTCAGATTGACTTTTCATTGTTTTTGACAGGTTTCTCTCCCATGAAGTGTCCTGTCTGTCTCCTGCTGACGCAAGCGAGGCCCTTACATCTAGAAGGCAACTCCTGGTTAGTTTTAGGCATCACAGGTGTTTCCTCCCGGGCTGCCGGCACCGTCTAACATGTGAACCCAGGCTCAGCTCAATTTCTGCAGAGTGACACTCTGAAAAGCAGGGACAAGGCTACCTGCCTCAGTTGAGGATGAATTTTGTAACAAACGTTGCCTCCGGTTTTATAACCTTAATATACCATTTGTAGTTCAGCTACTTGGAAGTCCCAGCGGGATATAATGAACATGTTACAATATGTGTATTTATTTCTCTTTATCCAGTGGAAATGTTTCTGCAGATAATGTGCAAATCAAAATTTGTTCACTAGAAACAATTAATTATGCATTTATGGGCAGCCTGGGTGGCTCAGCAGTTTGGCGCCTGCCTTTGGCCCAGGGTGCGATCCTGGAGTCCCAGGATCGAGTCCCACGTCGGGCTCCCTGCATGGAGCCTGCTTCTCCCTCTGCCTGTGTCTCTGCCTCTCTCTCTCTCTCTCTCTCTCTCTCTCTCTCTCTCTCTGTGTGTGTTTCTCATAAATAAATAAATATTTTTTAAAAAATTATGCATTTACATCTTGGGGGCGCCAGGCAACACATATCCCAAACAAAATGGTTTCAATTCTGAAAGGGTGCCCATTATGCGAATTTGGGGAAAGTAAATAATAACCTCCTGGGTATTCATTTCCATGCTCTGGAATTACGCTTTTGTTGTTATTGTATAGAAAGAGACCCGTTCTCTGAAGCCTTTTCCAGTATTTTCCACCCCAAAATCATTTTCTTCTTACCAGTTAGAAAGACACCGATGTGTACAGAGGAGACTATGTAGCTATCTCTCCCAAAAGAGAAATCATTTCAGGGCAAGAAGTAATAAAATCAAGTCAATTATGACCAGGAGATGGTGGCAACAAAACGTCTTCTGTTTCTCAATGCTTTATGCCACCGTCTTTCACCAAACCCTCGTCCACTGTACCCCATGTCGGTGTCCCAAGAGTTCCCAAGTTTTGCTCCATATTAGAACCACCAGGGGAGCTTTCACTAATCTCAAACTCAGGTTACACCTGACAGCAATTAGAGCAAAATGTCTCAAGGTGGCGTCGAGAAATGCCCAGGGCATTCCAATGCCCAGCAGGCACCTTTGCCATACTCTGCCAGCAGCCCAGGGCTTTATCAAAACTAATGGTAGGGGCGCCTGGGTGACTCAGTTAAGCCTCTGCCTTCCTTCTGCTGAGGTCATGATGCCAGGGCTCTCAGCTCCCCCCCCCCCCCCCCCGTTCCTGCTCGTGCTCTCTCCCCCTCTCACGTATGTATACCCTTCAGACTAGTGTTGACGTCGGGGACTGTTTCTGTCCGGTCCTGGGCCTCGTGGGAATGCCGCTTGCTAGAAGTTGGCCTTCGACTGTAGAGTGTCGAGAGAGGGAAATTGTTGTGACAATTCATCCCCCCTCCGCCCGAAGCGTTCTGCAGCTCACCTGCTCTTTAATGAGGGGGTAAGGGCTACTTCCTGGGCTTGTAGAAAGGCCTGCACACCCGGAGAAGAGAGGGGGCTGCGTGGGACACATACCAGGGCTCCATAAACGCTGGGGAAGTCCGCGCTGGTTTACGGAGGACGAGGTCAGGAGCTGCCTTCTGCAACTGTCCCTCTGAAGGGAACTTGCTGTCCTTCCCCAGCGCCCAAGCACGTTCCCACAGGCTCCTCCCTTTCTGCTCTTTTCACTTAGGCCCACCCCGCACTCACCTGGCTCCCTGCCCATTATTGTCAGGGAACAGCGAGACACAAAGGACTGTCTCAGGTCCACGGTCCACAGTCCACGATCCACAATCCACAATTGCAAGGATATGTTGCCTGTGAGAGCTGCAGCGAAAACAAAAGGTGAGAGTTGCTGGCCGCGTAGGAGAGGTTGGGAAGAACTGGGAAAAACAGATCGGTACACAGGGCCGAAAACCTTTGGAATTGGATGGAATCAGCGTTGGGACAATTATGGGAAAGGGAGTCATCCAGCAATAGGGGGAACAACAATCAGGCCTGGTAGTTTTGAGCATCCTGCTACATGTATGCCCCATGGTAAGCGCTCTGGTGGTTCGGGAGCAATAGGGGCGCTCGGGGAGCCTGCAGAACAGAGCAAGCCCAACACAAGGGATGGTCGGAGAACAGTTTGACGCCAAACTCCGAGAGCCGAGATGGCCTGAGAGGGCTTTCTTTTTTCTTTTCTTTTCTTTCTTTCTTTCTTTCTTTCTTTCTTTCTTTCTTTCTTTCTTTTTTTTTTTTTTTGCAACTATTTGCTTTATTTCCAGAGAATTTCTAGGAATCAAAACTCACCCAAAATGTATTTCTTGTGCTACTTAATTATTAGCCTAACAATAAAACACATTTAGATATTATCAAAATTTAAAAGTGCGTTTGAGAAAAGAAGTAAGGAGGTATAAACAGAAAATCAGTTGACAAGTGGAATTTACTAGAGGACAATGTTGCTGGTGCACCAGCTGGTGGCAGTGTGGCTATCCTCAATGCCACAGCCATGAATGGCATTTTGCAAGTATTGTGGCTGTCTATACAAGCATTCACTTAAGTTAACAGAGTTTTGCCATTTCCTTTGTAGCAATCTTTCCTGATTTGTTTACTCTGTCTGCATTTACTGTACGAGAATTGGCTCAACTTACTTTATTATGTAGGCTTCTTTTTACTTGGTGATATTCGCTGAAGAAATACGGGGCTGACATTAGTTTTAATAGAAACGCTATACAGCCTGGGCTTCACGTACCAATATAGTCAAGGTTTTTGTGGCCTGCTCCATATTGATGTTCACCAATGCCAATCTATTTCTTTTTATTCTTGTAATTTCATATTTTTTATTTTAATGTAAGTAAGAAATCCTTTTGGACTCTAGCATGTAATATTCAGCATTTAAATAAACAAAGCTCTCGGGATCCCTGGGTGGCTCAGCGGTTTGGCGCCTGCCTTTGGCCCAGGGCGTAATCCTGGAGTCCCGGGATCGAGTCCCACGTCGGGCTCCCTGCATGGAGCCTGCTTCTCTCTCTCTCTATGTCTATCATGAATAAATAAATAAAATCTTTAATAAGTAAACAAAACACTGTTTTGCCATAGAAAACCACATTACTATCACTTTCGGGCTTTCTTGAAGAGCCGCACCTCTAGCTGGAGCTTGCAGGGTCCCACGAGAGTTTAATTAGCAGAGAGAAGGAAGTCAACTATCCCAAGGGTTGGGGAGCACAGTCAGGGGCTGCGGCTGGAGGAATCTGATTGCCCTCCGCTAGGTCCTGTCGCTTCTCACTCTACAGGAATTAGGGCAGAAGATGTGAAGGGACTCTTACCCCTGATGATCCTAATGGTGATCATTTTCCTGCTGCTTCTGTTCTGGGAGAACGAGCTGCATGAGGAAAGAGAGGTGCCAACCCTGGAGCACTTGCACGTGGACTACCCTCAGAGTGACATTCCTGTAAGGTACTGCAACCGGATGGTCTTACAAAGAGTCATCAGGGGACCTGACAACGCCTGCAAGAAGGAGCACGTTTTCGTCCATGAGAGGCCTCGAGAGATCAACAGGGTGTGCACCTCTCCCAAGAAGAGGGTTTGTCAGAACCATTCTTCCATCTTATGTTTCCAGAGTGTGACAAAGTTCAAAATGACAGCCTGTCAGCTCATCGAAGGCACCAGATATCCCGCCTGCAGGTACCACATATCCCCCATAGTGGGGTTCGCTGTTGTCACTTGTGATCACATGGGGCCAGTGACTCTGCAGAGGTATGTTGAGTAAGTGGAGACCAGTGCCTGAGACCATCTCTTCCCTCTCTCAGGGATGCTAGCCCTCACCGAGGCGCACCTGAACCATGGGCCTGGGTAGTGCCTTGAGTAAACTGCGTAGCCACTGGGGAGGAATCCATTTATCCTCCCAGTATTGCTGAGCTGGAATCTTTTTATTCTGCTTTAATCTTAAAAAAAAAACTGAATTAAATCATAAACTCAAAAATAAATAAATAAATAAATAAATAAATAAATAAATAAATCATAAACTCTGCATGTGTGTTAATTTCTTGTCCCTCTTCTTGCAGTCATTTGTCGAGAGCCAAAAGTGAATCCGAGGCGGAGCTGGGATTAGGGTAAAGTGAGGGAGACACTCACTTCACGTTCAAAATTTAAGGGGCACCCAAAATCCCAGTAATCTAGATAAACGGAGTTTTAAAAATCAAATTTAATGCAGAAATGTCTGAAGAATAAAATACCCAGGTTTTAAATAAAGACCTAGTCTGACAGGATTGGATCTAGGGTGACATGAGTTAGTGAGTTTTGCCAGTATAGGGTCAGATCCTATTATACAGCGTTTTGATATTTCATGATCAGAGATTATTTTGCATTAAATTAGGATTCTTAAGTGTTGCATTGAGATATTAGGACTCTTGATTACTGGGCTCTTGGGCACCCTCCCTTAAGTCTTGTGCCTGGACCGAGCGTCTGCTTTGGTCGCACCGCACTCCCGGGCTTGCTCCTCAGTGGAGAGGCACTTGGAGTAGTTTAGGGTCTCCTCTGAAGGGTACCTATAGTTCCAGCTGCACCTGTTCCCACTCAGCAGCTGCCTCTGAGCCTTGAAAGAAAGGGAAAGGGAGATGGCAAGGACTGCCTGCCTGGTCAGAAACCGCGTCCCTTGGAGCCGGTTAGAGGAGTGACCAAGGGTTTCCCAGGAAGGGATTGAGACTCTCAGAGCTCGGTGTCCCTCTCCGGCATCCTGGAGGGAATAGACACCTTGCCATCCAGGGTCCTAACTCCTGTCCCCTTGGCGGCCCTACAGCCAGTTCTTCAGCTCGCCCACATCCAGCCGTGGGCAGGGCATCCTCGGGGCTAGGGCAAGTGCTTGGAGCGAAGGAAGGAGGCCTCCTTACCTGGCGGGGGGAGGGGGGGACCTTGTGAAGTCCTGTTCTTTCCTGAGCAGTGGTCCCCACACCCAGCAAGCCAGGCCCTCGCCCCAGCCCGTCTTTGAGGTCTCCAGGCCTGTTACTCCACAATTCCAGTTCTCCTGGTGGGAGGCCAGGGTCGGTACACAGAGTAGTGAGGAAGAAGGGCAGCTAAGCGCCAGATTATGGGGTCACTGACTCTGAGCTATGACATTGCCGTCCCGGGAGAACCAGAAACACGGGGAGCTGCAGCGGGCACCGGCAGCGCACGAGCCTTAGAGGCCCTTTCTGTTCTCATCTTTTCAGCTGAGAGACTCCGACTATTGCATTATTTATCTGGACTTAGCGGAAGGTCAGATGGAAAAGGGGGGGCACCTATGCTGGTTGTTAGCTCAGTCATTTGCAAGCATCGAGCTCCAACTGGGTGAATTCAGAGAGGCAGGGCGTTGACCACTGTGAGCGGCCTGCACGCGGGCAAGCTTGTTCCTTACCCACCTCTCTGGAGGCGGGGGGTCCTGCTGTCACTGCTGTCTCTCTGGAAGGTTGGAGGTCACCAAGGAAGTGGAGCCCTCAGATGCTGAGCAGGATCAAGTGGTCCCCAGCAGATGACTTGTTGGGGCCCGAAGCAGCATCATTTCTTGGGCAAAATTTTAAAGTGGCAGAAATGTGTCTTTGAAGTCCCCGTTTCTGTATTCGGAATTCTGATTCCTTGTCCTTCCCCTCTCCCTGGGCGGTATTGGCTCTTTTTTCCTTCCAGCTGCTTTTTCATCCCTTCCTCCCTTAACCTACCTCCTTCTAAGGAGAAACAAAAATCTTGCAGATAAATGCATTCCCACTAAGCTGTAAGTAACTGAGACTCTCAGTGGAATCTATTCTCAGAATGTTTTCAGTCAATGAGATCAAAACCCAACTCAAATGAATTGCAATGTATTAGGCATTTGTAGTCTGAGAGGGTATTTTTTTTTTTTTAGAAGGGCACCTTAGCAGCCCAAACCAAGCCCAGGTAGCTGTGAATTCTGTGCACTTGAAAAAGATGTTTCAGAAAAATATTTTCAGTGTGGAAACTGCATTCTTCTTCCTTTTCATTTTTCTCCTCATTGTCTTTCTGTTTTCCTATTATCACCTCACTACTGATGTTGACAGTAGAGAACATTTAGGAAAAAATCCAAATCCTCCTTCCCTTGTCCCTTCAATCAGCAGCACGTCTATGCTCCAAACACACACATGAACACATCCACTTAATTCCTAATCGTCGATCAATAATCAATCAACCCAATTTTTTTAAAAGATTTTATTTATTCATTTATGAGACTCAGAGAGAGAGGCAGAGACATAGACAGAAGGAGAAGCAGGCTCCTCACAGGGAACCTGATGTGAGACTCGATCCCCAGACCCAGGATCGTGGCCTGAGCGGAAGGCAGATGCTCAACCGCTGAGCCACCCAGGCGTCCCTCAATCAACCCAATTATCAAGGCTTATATATTCTTAGTACTCAGTCTTTCCTCTAATTTCACACACAGAACATTTTAAAATTAAATATAATAAAAATGTAAGTCCACATGTCTTCTTGTCAAGTGGTGTAAGAAGCGAATGATTATATAGAATTATTGGACCAACATGTTGCACACCTAAAACTAACACTGCATGTCAATGATACTATAATAATAATAAAATAAGAAATGAAGGATAAGAAGATCAGGGAAATGAACAATGGATCTGGTGGGCTTAAGTAGTGAAAAATGTGTTAAAGAAAGAATATGATCTGAATTGGACTTTGAAGAGGTGGAAAAGGGTAGACTGTCAAGAAAGTGCCAAAAATGGAGAGCCAGAGTAGGGTGTATTCAGAGAAGGGTGGGTCACGCTGATTTGACTAGAGCGGGTTTGTGTACCAAAATAATGAGAGACAGCCTTGAGAGGCAGGTTGAGATTAGATCAAGAAGGGCCTTGACTAAGTGGTCCCAGGGGACTGGATAACCTCCAGCTGGCCATAGAAATATCTCAAGGTTTTTGAAATAATGTCATTGCAAGTGATGTTTTTAGAAAAGTAGTGTAGGGGATCCCCAGGTGGCTCAGTGGTTTAGCACCTGCCTTGGACCCAGGGCGTGATCCTGGGGTCCCGGGATCAAGTCCCACATCGGGCTCCCTGCGTGCAGCCTGCTTCTCCCTCTGCCTGTGTCTCTGCCTCTCTCTCTCTCTCTCTATGTCTATCATGAATAAATAAATAAAATATTAAAAAAAAAGAAAAGTAGTGTATCCAAGGATTGGAGGGACAAGGAGCAGCAGTTAGGAGGTAAGAGTGAAAATGCAGGAGATATAATGGAATGAGGCCCTTAGAGGAGAGAGACAAAGAAATTCTTTCTAGAGCAAAAGAATTATCACCCTTTACAACCGATCTTTCTAAGATTTTCATTGAGTCTCCCAGCATTGATCTCAAGTAAAGGATCCTCCACACTAGTCAAGCCATGTTGTGTTGTGTCCAGTGTCTGATTCTGCACAGAATGAAAAGGAGCTGAAACTAAGTTCCAGGCTCAAGGAATTTGCAGCCCTAAAAAGGAGGAAAAAAGAACTCTATATATCAATGAACTTGAAAAAAAAAAAAAAAGGAACATATAAAATAAAGTGCGATGTCATCTATGCTGTAGGTTTTTTTTTTTTTAAGATTTATTTATGGTAGACATAGAGAGAGAGGGGGGCAGAGACAGGAGGAGAGAGAGGCAGCTCTATGCTGGGAGCCTGACACAGGACTCGATCCAGGGACTCGATCCAGGGACTCCAGGATTGCTCCCTGGGCCAAGGGCAGGTGCTAAACCACTGAGCCACCCGGGGATCCCCTATGCTGTAAGTTTTCAAAAAAGCTAAAAACAAATCAGTGGGTTAAAGTCTAAAATGGAAGATTCCACAAAAGAGGAAACAGTGCTGCTGCCCATGTCACAGGGCTTCTGACGGCCGGACTCACACTTTATGAGGTCCTCTGAGCACCCGTGCTTGTCGTCCCCTCCTCTGTCTCGTGCCACCCTCCTTCCCTCCTTCCCTCACCGACACCAGCAACAGAGACTCCAGGAAACAGAACAGCTTTGGGTCTCGCCCTGCTGACAGGCTGGGTTTTCTGTGTGCGGCCCCATGTGCCCAAGGAGCTGGTAACGAGAAACTCCATGACAGGGGGGGTGGGGGGTGAGAGTGGGGGAAATCACAGGTTTGAAATGGCTGCCACGTGCCAGGCACTGTGTGAGGCTGTGGGAGACCCGGTAGTAGTAAGGCCGTGTTGGGCGAGAGTACCGTGACCACGCTGTAGACCGCAGGCCCTCCCAGTGGGACAGGAGACGAGGGGGAAGGGAGAGGTAACTACTTGGTTTGGGGCACTTTAAACACATTCCCTTATATAATTCTCACCTTTCTTTCTTTCTTTCTTTTTTTCTTTCTTTCTTTCTTTCTTTCTTTCTTTCTTTCTTTCTTTCTTTCTTCTTTCTTTCTTTTTTAAAAGATTTTATTTATTTATTCCAGAGAGATGCAGAGAGAGAGGCAGAGACCCAGGCAGAGGGAGCAGCAGGCTCCATGCAGGGAGCCCGACGGGGACTCCATCCCATGACCCCGGGTCACACCCCGAGCTGAAGGCAGATGCTTCACCACTGAGCCCCCCCCCGGGTCCCTCTTTTTTTTTTCTCACATGGGAGACACTGAGGTCAAAGGAGCAGAGTAAACTGTGCAGGGGTGGATTAGCAGCGGGGGGCTCCAAGCAGGGCGCTAGGATTCCCACCAAAGCGCCCGAGCTCACATGGAGGGACAGCCCTGGGACCGGTGCCATAAGGAGCTTCCTCCCCTTCTCGAGCTTCCTCCTGGAGACGAGGCTCCCCGGGACCTGGGCTGGACACTCGGGCCCTGCTGCCCCTCAGCCTGGCTCCGTGTTGCAGGGGCCGCGAGTGTCTCGCCGACATAGTCAAGGAAAGACTCTCAGGGGCAGAGGGGCGATGTGACTTGGCAAGCAGTGGCTGGGGCGCAGACTCCTGGGTCACTAACGA